GATTCGTGTAATTTTCCTAGAATCTGCAGTCATCGCAAGAGGTACCCACTATATACTGTAAAAGTAATTTGGTTCTAAAGCCGAGTCCCTTTACCGGGGATATAGTATATGGATGCTAGTGCTATCGAAATTAAAATTAATAATTTCCCTCCCCTCCTAGTAGTTTCTGCTTATGCTCGTTCTTGTGCGGAAATCATCAAAAAATTCCCCGAAAAGGATTTTCTAAAAATTCTAAATTCAGGTAATAACTTAATCATTGCTGGAGACCTTAACGCTGCTCAAAAAACGTGGAATAACACCAGGTCGAACAATTTTGGCTTTGGTCTTAAAAGAATTATTCAAAATTATCCTAATGAAAGGATTGTTGCAATCTTTACACTCCGATGACATATTAATTCACGTTCTTCGGCCGGGGAGTACGTGACTAATACGACCCGGCTGTTTTTAAAAACATCCCTTTAATTATGATATAGGAGTTATAGATGATTTTTGTTCTGATCATCTACCGTTCATTTTAACTCTATACACCAATCCTGGATACCATGAAAATCTCCAACGCAACTCTCCACCAATTGGGAGAGAACTTCCGATTCCTTTCTTAAAAATAAGCCACTCCCCATTCCGGAGTCTCCCACCAATTAGTATCTCGACGTTGCGATTGGTCGGCTTTGAGAAAATATCTCCGAAGCACTTGTGGCTGCTTCAAAACCCAAATTTAAAACCGCACCTATTAAATTACCTCCAGATATTCGTCGCTCCAAAAATTGTCACAGAAATAGGGTAATGAGATTTTGCAAAGATCTAGAGACCCTGCTCTAAAAATGAACTCGTAGTATCAGCAAACGAGACAGCCAATGATATATCAGACACCCTCCCCGTCAAAATGGAGAGAAAAACAATTGAGGAGTTATCACCCGAAACAGGCACTCTTTGGAAGCGTACATCCCTTCTCAAAAAGCCTTTTCATGACATTCCCCCCCTAAAGGGAGCTCTCGGCAGAATCGCAAAGTTGTCTCCGATTGAAAAGGCTATGGGTCAATCACAACAGCCTTCAAAACCTTCGCCTTTTGCGGACAGCCTTCAAAAACAATTTGAACCAAATACTGATGTAGAGAATCCCATATTCTCTGCACATATACAGCTGAAGGTCCAAAGATTCCTTGACTCCCCTACCTGTATGGATCTGGAAAACATCTCCCTCTGAAATACAGGAATTCATTAAAAAATCTCAAACCAAACAAATCTCCTGAATTGATCTCATCACAAATCGTATCCTTAAAAATCTTCCAACTAACTTATTTCATTTTCATTGCTTTGCTGTTCAACATGTGCTTGAAAATTGCTACTTCCCTAAAAGTTGAGGATGGCCGTAGTGATCCTCATTCTTAAACTTAACTCTGATGACTCTAATCCTCAAAATTATTGTCCAATCTCACTACTTAAAAGCTTGAGTAGAACATACGAATTCGTGATTTTGAACCGCCTGAACCAACACTGCTTGGCCAGGAATATTATTATTCCAGAACAGCATGGCTTTGTAACTACGTGCTCTTAAGAACCTTAGTTTGATTTCCAGAGTCACTGGAATTTGGTTCTACGTGTATAAGCTCTAAAACAGTCAGGCCACAGGTATGTTCTTTGTGGACATAGCCACAGCCTTTGACAAAATTTGGCATGATGGCTAATATTCAAGATGATGAGACTTGATTCTTGGACCAAATCCTAAAATTATTCACTTATACCCAAACTCGAGAGAGTTTGTGAGCCAGAGTCGAAAAACTGCCTCCAGCCCGTCCAGCAAAAAGTGAAATTCCTCAAGGAGGTTTGCTTCACCAAGACTTTTAACTTATATATATTAACGACATTCCGAAGGTTGACAACTGTCCATTTAACTATGTATGGATGACACTACTATCATTATCAACACATCTTGTAATTTCAAAATTATTGAAAGATTACAAAATTACATCAGCTAAGGCTTCAGCTCTGCCTGCCGTTTGAAAATCAAAGTAAATGCATCAAAAGCGCAATCCTCCCCTCTTTACGAAGCAAAGGTGTATAGAAATCCTTACCCCATAATATCAACATTTTTGACCAACCTGTCCCTGAGTCGAATTTAGTACCTAGGATTCATTCTCGACAAAAATTGAACTTCTCCCCCATATCCGTGCTGCGCTTCAAAAAGCTTCAGGAATGAGCCAAACGCTCAATTGCTTAATTTCTCGAAAGTGTAAGCTCCCAATCAAACACAAGGTTTTGCTCTATAAATTATTTCTTAAACCAATTTTGTTATATGCATCTCCCATCTGGGCTTCTGCTGCAGTAACTCACTTGAAAATCTGCATGTTTTTCAAAAAATAAACACCTAGAAAAATTACTAAAGTTTCTGTTTAGTCAGAATGAAATCTTTGCACAAAGATCTCAAAATTGATACAATTCTTGGATTTCATTAACAATCAATCGAAAAAGTTTTTTGACAGATTACCTAATATTCCTATCCGAGTCATCCCTGCTTACGATAACTCGGTCCCAAGCTCTGCAAAAGACCTAGAGCTGCTCTTTTCACTGACATATATCAGCATTTCCTAGTCCTTAAAAGATATTTCCGAAATTCTGAATATGTCTTAGATAACCTCTTTTCAAAAATTTTTTAAATTTTCCTAATTTTAACTTTTGTCATTTTGTGCAAGATTTCATCTCCATTAAATTAGTTCGACTTAAACCCACATTCTAAATCGGTCTTATGTGGTAGTTTAATTCCCATGTCAATTCATTCTCCTTTTTCCAATATCTTTGTGGATCATCTTTTATTTTACTCATCTTCCAAAGCAGATAGAACAGATAGGACACTTTCTTGTGGCTCACTGCTCTTTTTTCAATCGCTGTTCAGCGACACTTCCACCTGTCGTCACTACAATTATCCAGCAGTGTTTGTCCTTCCCCTTTATTTTAACATCACGTACCACGGCATTAATTTTACTTCCATTTTATCTTTTTTTATCTTCCAAATTCTGTGTCTACTTTCGATTTCGTTCAGCAAAAGAAAGGTCTGAATTGTAGTGTACAGTATGATACTTTCGCCACCTCTCCGATGGTGCCTCATTAAATATGTTTCATACTTGCCAATTGAATTATTTCGTTTCCCTCACCGGTACTATGTCCTCAACTACAGGTGAGAAGCTTTCTTTTAGAACGGTCTGAGCTGTTATTAATGATTTTGATAGCATCTTTTAAATTTTATGGAACTTTCTCTACCACTATTCTCTTTTTCTTATTAAATAGGATGAGAGGATAATAATACTGTTTCTTTTTGGTAAGTACCTCGTATTTTGAAGCCATGGGAGTGGAGTTGGATAGATGTTTAGACATTTGTGTGTATGGAGCCAAATTTAGAAATGATATATTTTATGTCAAACACATAGATAAAAATCATTTAATTAAAACTTAAAACATTTAAAACATCACACTGTACAATATAGAGAAAAATATTTTATAACAAATTAAATCCATTAGGAAAAAATTTATGTCATAAAAATGAAAAATTTATGGATTGAATATAAATTTATATTAATCAAGTTAAATATTGATAAAAGAAGATTTACAATATAAAAGTAAAAAGAGTTAAAAAAGAAAGTAATATATATCTGCTATTGACTATAATTATAAAGAATTTAGTAGAACGTGGATTTAAAAAAAATAAATGTTTACACTCAGAGGATATTTTCCTAGATATAAGACATTAAGTCAGTTTCGTATTTCCAAACAGAAAAATGATTAATACAGTATTTATTCAACGAATCACACACACACACACACACACACACACACACACACACACACACACACACACACACACACACACACACACACACACACACACACACACACACACACACACACACACACACACACACACACACACACACACACACACACACACACACACACACACACACACACACACACACACACACACACACACACATGACAAATCCAAATATAAAATACCGGACGAGATGAGAGAGATGAAATTCCACCGAGAACACAATGATATAAAAGTACTATGAAGGTGAAAACCGTTAAGAATATCACAGTTAAAAAAAATGTCTTTTAAACCCGAAGACGCTAACTCTCGACAATAAATGCTTACTTTTCAAATGCTTCCCCAAGCCGGATATTCTTTATAAATAAGAGATGAGAGAGAGAGTAAAATATATTTCTCATTTTTGGGTGAATTTGAACCTTCTCGATTTAACTGGACTTATTTGTTACTTCTAAAGCAAAGTCGTAGTTTGTTAAATAAAGAGAGTGACTCACACACATTATTTCAAACGAATTCATCGATAGTAATGTCGCGAAAAAACAAAGATATGCATTCAGTAAATTGAATGAAATTCGTTGCCATCACCGCTCAGTGGCAGATCAATGATCTTGTAAACCAGGGGTCGTAAGTTCGATCCTCACAGGTGGTTTTGCGAATACTTGATCAAGCATTGTGTTGTTTCTAATCCAAAGACGCGTTCTGCATATTTTTCTTTTTATAGTGCATTCGATCGTTCTCGATTAAATCCGGAATATTTTCAACCTGAGAGGAATGACATTTTTGGAAGAGAAAGGTGTCTCATTATTTCAAACTAATCTACAAGGAAATGTCGCGAAAGAAACAAAAGTAGGCATTGAGTAAAAATAAATGAAATCCGTCGCCATCATAGCTCAGTGACAGACCACTAATCTTGTAAACCGGGGTGGAGTTCGATCCTCAAAGGGGGCTTTAAAATACGTGATCAAGCATGGAGTTGTTTTTTTTAAACGAAAAAACGCTTTCTGTATATTTTTTTTTTTTATAAATGCATCGTCGCTCTCATTAATCCGCGTTAATTACTCCCTTTGAATGTCATTTTTGGAAAGAAATTTTGTCTCATTATATATTTTCAAACTAATCTACAAAAAAATGTAGCAAAAAAAAACAAAATTGCATTGAGTAATTGAACGTAATCGGGGCCATCATTTGCTCAGTGGCAGAGCACTGGTCCGGGAAACCAGGGTCGGGGTTTGATCCCCACTGGTGGCTTTACAAAAAACGTGATCAAGCATGGAGTTGTTTTTTAATCGAAAGACGCGTGCTGTATATTTTTCTTTTATAAAAGGGGGGATCGCCTCGATTAATCCCCCGTTTAAATTTTAAACCTTAATAGAATGCCCTTTTTGGAAAGAAATGTGTCTCATTATATATTTCAAATTTAAACTACGAGAGAAATGTAGCGAAAGAAACAAAAAAGTGCATTGAGTAATTTAACGAAGCGGGGCCATCATACTAGTGGCGAGCACTGGTCGTAAACCAGGGGGCGTGAAAATTCGATCCTCACTGGTGGCTTTACAAATACGTGATCCAAACATGGGTTGTTTTTTTTAAACGAAAAGCGTGCTGTATATTTTTTTTTTATATGCATGCGATCGCCCCGATTAATCCCGGGTTTAATTTTAAACCCTTTAAAAGAATGTCATTTTTTGGGAAAAGAAAAGTGTCTCATTATATATTTCAAAATTTAAACTACGGGGGAAAATGTAGCGAAAAACAAAAAAGTGCATTGAGTAATTGAACGTAATGCGGCGCCATCATATCTCAGTGGGGAGAGCACTGGTCTTGTAAACCCAGGGGCCCTGGGGTTCGATCCTCACTGGTGGCTTTTCAAATACGGATCAAACATGGGGTTGTTTTTTAAACGAAAGACGCGTGCTGTATATTTTTTCTTTTTTTAAAGGGATGCGATCGCCTGATTAATCCGCTTTAATTTTTCCTTAAAGGGAAAGTCATTTTTGGAAGAGAAATGGTCTCATTATATATTTCCCAAAATAATCTACGAGAGAAAAAGTAAGGAAAAAAAACAAAAATGTGCATTGAGTAATATGAATGTAATGCGGCGCCAAACATACTCAGGGGCAGAGCACTTCTTGTAAACCGGGTCGGAAAACCCCATCCTCACTGGTGGCTTTACAAATACGTGATCCAAACATGGGTTGTTTTTTTAAACGAAAGACCCTGCTGTATATTTTTTTTTATATGCTTTCGGGTCGTCATTAATTTAAACCGTTAAATTTTCCCCTTTAAAAGAATGTCCTTTTTGGGAAAAGAAAATTTTCTCATTATATATTTCCCAAAAAATCTACGAAAGAAATGTAGCGAAAAGAAAAAAAAATGTGCATTGAGTAAATATGAAGTAATGGGGGCCCTATACTCAGTGGCAGAGCACTTTGGGTTTTTTTAAAACCCGGGGTCGTGGGGTTTGATCCTCACTGGTGGCTTTTAAAAAAACTTTATCCAGGATGGGTTGTTTTAACCCAAAGACGCGTGCTGTATATTTTTTTTTTTATAGTTCTGCGATCCTTTTGATTTAATCCGGTTAATTTTTCCTTTTAAAAGAATGTCATTTTGGAAAGAAATGTGTCTCATTATATATTTCCCAAATTTAAACTACGGGGAAAAGTGCGAAAAAAAAAAAAATGGGGCATTGAGTAATTGAACGAATCCCGGGGCCCTCATACTCAGTGGGGGAAAAAGCACTGGTCTTGTAAACCCAGGGTCGGAAGGGTTGATCCTCCCTGGGGGGCTTTTCAAAAAAAATTGATCCCCTGGGGTTTTTTTAATCGAAAACCCTGCTGTATATTTTTTTTTTTATAGTGCTTTCGATCGCCTCGATTAATCCCGGTAATCCTTTAAAAGAATGTCATTTTTTGGAAGAAAATTTTGTCTCATTATATATTTCAAATTAAACTACGGAGAAATGTAAAAAAACAAAAATGTGCATTGGTAATTGAACGTAATCGGGCCATCATATCCAAATGGCAGAGCACTGGTCTTTTAAACCAGGGGGCGTGAGTTGATCCTCACTGGTGGCTTTAAAAAAATTTATCAAGCATGGAGTTGTTTTAATCGAAAGACGCGGGTGTATATTTTTCCCTTTTTTTATGCTTTCGATTCCCCTTTGATTTAATCCGCGTTAATTTAAAAAAATTTTATTTTGGGAAAAAAATGGGCCTTTTCCCAAAAAAAAAGGGTTTTAAAAAAAAAATTTTTTTTTTAAAAAAGGGTTTTTTTTAAAAGGAAACCTGGAAAATTTTTTTTTTTCCCCCCGGGGAAAAAAAAATTTTTTTTTTTTTTTTAAAAGGGGGAAAAAATTTTTTTTAATTGGGTTTTTTTTAAAAAATTTTAAAAAAAAAACCTTTTAAAGAAAATTTTTTTTAAAAAAAAAACCCCAAAAATTTTGGGAAAAAAAAATTATTTTTGGCCTTTCCCCCAAAAAAGGGGGGAAAAAGGGGGGGGTTTTTTTTTTTTTTTTAAAAAAAAATTTTTTTTTTTTTTTTTTTTTTTTTTTAAATTTTTAAAATTTTGGGAAAAAAGGGAAAAAAAAATTTTAAAAAATTTTTTTAAAAATTTTCCCTTTTTTTTAAAAAAAATTTTTTTTGGGGGGGTTCTTTAAAAACCTTTTTTTTTTTGGGGGGGGCCCCTTTTTTTTTTTTTTATTTTGGTGGAAAAAAAAAAAAATTTTTTTTTAAAAATTTTTTTAAAAATTTTTTTTTTTAAAAAAAAAGGGAAAAAAAAAAAAAATTTTAAAAAAATTTTTTAAAAATTTTTTTTTTTAAAGGGGCCAAAAAAAATTCCCCCTTTTTTTAAAAATTGGGGCCCCTTTTTTTAAAAAAATTTTAAAATTTTTTTTTTTCCCCCCCCTTTAAAAAAAATTTTTTTTTTTTTTAAAAAAAGGGGGAAATTTTTTTTAAATTTTTCAAAATTTTTTTTTTTAAAAATTTTTAAAAAAAAAATTTTTTTTAAAGGGAAAATCCTTTAAAAAAAAACCCCGGGGTTTTTAAAAAAACGGGGGTTTTAAAAAAACTTTTTCCCCAAAAAAGGGGGGGGGGGGGGGTTTTTTTTTTTTGGGGGTTTTTTTTTTTTTTTTTAAAAAACCTTTTAAAAATTTTTTTTTTTTTTAAAAATTTTGGGTTTTAAAAAAAAAAAATTTTTTAAAAAATTGGGGTTTTTTTTTTTTTAAAAAGGGGAAAATTGGGAAAAAAAAACTTTTTCCCCCCCCGGGGCCCCAAAACTTTTGGGGGGGTTTTTTAAAAAAAGGGGGGTTTTTTTTTTTTTTTAAAAGGGCCCGTTTAAATTTTTAAAAACCCCTTTTAAAAACCCCTTTTTTTTGGAAAAGGGCCCCTTTTAAATTTTTTTTAATTTCCCAAAAAATTCAAAAAAAAAAAGTTTTTTAAAAATTTTTTTGGAAAAACCGGGAAAAAAATTTTTTTTGGGGGGGGGGGGTTTTTTTTCCCCCCCTTTTTTTTTTGGGGGGGGGGGTTTTTTTTTTTTTTGGGGCCCGGGTTTTTTTAAAAAACCCTTTTTTTTTTTTTTTTTTTTTCCCCCCTTTTTAAAAAAAAAATTTAAATTTAAAAAAAAAAATTTTTGGGGAAAATTTTTTTTTAAAAAATTTTTTTAAAAAAAAAAAAAACAAAAAGGGGGGGGATTAAAATTTTTTCCCCCCCCAAGGGGTTTTAAAAAGGGGAATTTTTTTTTTTGGGGGTTTAAAATTTTTAAAAGGGTTTTTTTTTAAAAATTTTTAAAAATTTTTTTTTTTTTTTTTTTAAAAAAAACCCAAAAAATTTTTTAAAAAAATTTTTTTTAAAAAAAAATTTTCCTTAAAAAAGGGGGGGAAAAAAAAAAAAAAAAGGGGGGTTTTTCCCCCCCCCCCCAAAAAACGGTTTGGGTTTTTTTTTAAAAGGGGGGGCCCAAATTTTTTTTAAAACCCCCCCTTTTTTTTTAAAAACCCTTTAAAATTTTTTTTTTGGGGAAAAAGGGGGTTTTTTTTTTCCCAAATTTTTCCTTTAAAAATGTCCTTTTTAAAAAAACCAAATTTTTTTAAAAAAATTTAAAATTGGGGGAAAAAAAATTTTAAAATTTTTTTTTTTTGGGGGGGGTTTTTAAAAAGGGGCCCTGGGAAATTTTTTTTGGGGTTTCAAAACTTTTTAAAAAATTTTTTTTTTTTAAAAAAATTTTTTTTTTTTTAAAAAAGGGGTTAAAAAATTTTTAAAAAATTTTTAAAAAATTTTTTTAAAAAAAAAAATTTTTTTTTTAAATTTTTTCCCCCCTTTTAAAAAAAAAAAAAAAACCCCGGGGAAAAATTTTCCCCTTTTAAAAATTAAGGGGGGGGGGTTTTTAAAAAAATTTTTTTTCCCTTTTTTTTTCCTTTTTAAAAAAATTTTTTTTTTTTTGTTTTTTTTTAAAAACCCCTTTTTTTAAAAATTTAAAGGGGGAAAAAAAAAAAAATTTTTTTAAAAAAAAAACCCCCCCGGGGGGGGAAAAAAAAAAAAAAAATTTTTTCCCCTTTGGGGGAAAAAATTGGGAAATTTGGGTTTTTTTTTTCCCCCCCCAATTTTTTTTTTTAAAATTTTCAACCCTTTTTTTTTTCCCCAAAACCCCCTTTTTTTTTTTTTAAAGGGTTGGGGGAAAAAAAACCCCCTTTAAATTTTTTAAAAAAAAAAAAAAAAAATTTTTTTTTTTAAAAAATTTTTGGAAAATTTCCAAAAAAAAAGGGTTTTAAAAGGGGGGGCCCCCCCTTTTTGGGGGAAAAATTTGGGGAAAAGGGGTTTTAATTAAACCTGGGGTTTTTTTTTTAAATTTTTGGTTTTTTTAAAATTTTTAATTTTTCCTTTTTTTTGGTTTTTTTAAAAAATTTTTTTTTAAATTTTTAAAAAAAAAGTAAAGGAAGGAAAAAAAATTTTTTAAAATTAACCCGGGGTTTTTAAAAAAAAATTTTTTTTATGGGCCCGGGGGGTGGCGGGGTTTTTTGGCCCGGGGGGGGGGGGTTTTTTTAAGTGTTTTTGGGGGGTTTTTTAAAAAATTTTTTTAAAATTTTTTTTTGGGTTTAAAACCCCATTATAAATTTTTTTTTCCAAAAAAAGGGGAAAAAAAAATTTTTTAAAATTTTTTTAAAAAATTTTAAAAAAAAAAAAAAATTTTTTTAAGGGTTGGGGGCCCCCGGGGGGCCCCCCCCTTTTCCCCGGGGGTTTTTTTAAATTTTTTTTTTTTGGCCGCCAAAATTTTTTTGGGGGTTTTTTTTTTTTTTTTGGAAAGGTTTTTAAAAAATTTTTTAAAAAATTTTAAAAAAAAAGGGGGAAAAAAAAACCCTTTAAATTTTAAAAAACCGGGAAAAAAAAGGGAAAAAAAGGGGTTTTTTAAAAAGGGGGGGGGGCCCCCCTTTAAAAAAAATTTTGGGGGGAAATTTTTTAAACCCCCTTTTTTTTTTTTAAAAGGGGGGGTTTTTTTTTTGGGGGTTTTTTTTTTTTTTTTTTAAAAAAAAAATTGGTTTTTTTTTAAATTTTTTTTAAAAATTTCAAAAAAAAATTTTTTTTAAAAAAAATTTCCCCAAAAAAAAGGGGGGCCCTTTTTTAAAATTTTTTTGGGGGTTTTTCCCCTTTTTAAAAAAACCCCTTTGGGGAAAAAAAGGGGGGTTTAATTTTTATTTTTTTTTTTTTTAAAATTTTTTTTAAAAAATTTTTTTTTGGGGGGTTTTTTTTTTTAAAAATTTTTTTTAAAAAAAAAAAAAAAAATTTTTTTAAAAAAAAAAAAAAGGGGAGGAAAAAAGGGGGGAAAAAATTTGGGGCCCCCCCTTTTAAAAAAGGGGGGGGGAAAAAAAGGGGGGGTTTTTTTTTTTAAAAAATTTTTTGGGGTTTTTTTTTTAAAAAAGGGGAAATTTTTTTTTAAAGGAAAATTTTTCCCTTTAAATTTTTTAAAAAAAATTTTTAAAAATTCCCAAAAAAAAAAAAAAATTTTTAATTTTTTTCCCCCCAAAGGTGGCAAAAAAAAAAAGGGGGGGGGTTTTCCCCCCCCATTTTAAAAAAATTTTTTTTGGAAAAAAAACCCCCCCCCTGGGTTTTTTTTTGTGTTTGGGTTTTTTTTTAAAAAGGGGGTTTTTTTTTTTTTTAAAGGGGGGGGGGTTTTTTTTTAAAATTTTTTAAAAAAATTTTTTTTAAAAAAAAAAATTTTTTTTTTAAAAATTTTTTAAATTTTGGGGGGAAAAAAAAATTTTTTTTTTCCCCCAAGGCCCCCTTTTTTTTTAAAAATTTTTTTTTGGGGGGGGTTTTTTTCGAAACCCCTGGGGTTTTTTTTAAAGGGGGGGGTTTTTTTTAAAAAAATTTTTTTTTTAATTTTTTAAAAATTTTTTTTGGGGGAAAAAGGTTAATTTTTTTTAAAAAAAAGGGGGGAAAAAAAAAATTTTTTTTTTTTGGAAAAAACCCCCCAAAAAAAAATGGGGAAAAAATTTTTAAAAAGGGGGGGTCCCTCATGGGGGGGAAAAAAAAAGGGGGGGAGTTTTTTTTTCCTTTTTTTTTGGGGTTTTTTTTAAAAAAACCCCCCCTTTTTTTAAACCCAAGGGTTTTTTAAAAAGGGGGTTTTTTTTTTAATTTAAAAATTTTTTGGGAAAAAAGGGAAAAAAAAAAAATTTAAAAAAATTTTGGGAAAAAAAATTTTGGGAAAAAGGGGGGGAAAAAAATTTTTCCCCCCCGGGGTTTTAAAAAGGGGGGCCCCTTTTTTTTTAAAAACCTTTTTTTTTTTTTTTTTCCCCCCGGTTAAAATTTTTTTTTTTTAAAAGGGTTTTTAAAAATTGGTTTAAATTTTTTAAAAATTTTTTTGGGAAAAAAAAAAAAAAAAAAAATTTAAAAAAAAAAGGGCCCCCAAAAAATTTTTTGGGGCCGGGGCCCCAAAAAAAACCCCCGGGGTTTTTAAAAACCCGGGGGGGGTTTTTTTTGGAAAAAATTTGTTTTTTTTTTTTAAAAAACCCGGGTTTTTTTTTTTTTTAAAAAAAAATTTTGGGAAAAAAAATTTTTTTTTTAAAAACCCCAAAAAAAAAGGAAAA